TGAAAGCTGTGTGTGTGTGTGTGTGTGTGTGTGTGTGCTGGCTTCATTAAGCTCATGTTGATCTGTCATTGTTGTTTGCCGCTACAGGCCCGTGTTCAGAGATCTGACAGTAAACTCTATTAGCGACTCCTCCAGCGCCGCTTTTATTCATACGCTGCTGATGTTCTGTCTTCACACAATCGCACACTCTACGTTATTGTGGTCTTTGTTGAAATACTAATTTGTACATTTAGTCTAAATTATTCCTCTGATGTTATACAATATTCGGAGAAAAATCCCTCTATTACTGATGAGCGCTGGACTAGAGTCACACTTTTCACATTGTAAAATTATATACGGAAATGCAGGAACTTTAAGGCATATTAATGTGTTTTCTGTTTTTACAATTGTCAGAAAAGTACTTGCTGAATACCAAAACCTGCGATGATGCATCAATGCTACAGCGTATTTCAGGGAAGTCTAACCATCGCTCATAAAGCTTAGTACTTTATTTAACTGGAATTTACCTTTGCTGAGACCCAGAATTAAATCTCTCATTCCCAGAAATAAATATTACATTTAAAATCGATTTAGAAATTGAATAATCAAAAGTTTTTGACTTATTGCATCAGATCAGTGGGTTTTGATAAGATCTTTGCCTGTGCTTGTGTGTGCCGATTTGCTTGCTAAATATAGGAAAAGACTGATGGTGTGGTTTTCTCTACAGTTTCTTTATTGTTGAATATATCTGAATAGTGTATTTGCATCAGTGTTTAAATTAGACATTTGAAGATAGATTAGGGTCCAGTGTATTATTCAGCGCGCGAATCAACATCTGCTATAGCCCAACACATTCAAAATAAATTAAGAATAATGCAAAGTTTATAAATTAAGTCAACATTTGTCATTTTTCAGCTACTGTCAGCAGAGTCGTGAAATAAAAACTGATGTGTTCATGCATATACATATACACATGTTTATAAATAAATGTAAATGTGCGTGTGCATGTGCATGGGGAGAAAAACAAAGAAATGTGAATTTATTTCAGCTCACAGACGGTATTATGGTGTGTTTTTGACAGGCTATTTGCTGCACGGTGGTGAACTGCAACTGTGACAGTTTTAAACCAGGTAAACTGAGGCGGCGACTCTGTGAACACTGTAGGCACGGCTGGGTCGCCCATGGTGAGTTTCACATACTCTCCAATATTATATTTCACACAAATGTTACCCACACAACTTAAAATCAGGCTTTTACTGTATATTTCAGTGATATGTTTTTCTGGCCCCTTTCTCGCCTCGCCTGCTTTGTACAGCAGTTATAGAAATACTCCGTGTTTAATCCACCTCAAGCTTAATTGATCAATAATATTCATTACTTTAAAAATTATTACTGTTATATATTTTCTGTGAAGAATTGGTTGCAGTGTAGCACTGAAAATAGAAATGATTGAGAAAGATTTGTATATGTGAATTATTGCATTAAAAGTACTGTAACAACAGTGTAGTCGTTTAGATGTTTCTAACCCTTCTTACTAACCGGTTTACATGAAATATAATTCCTACTAAAGACAAAAAATGTATTGTCTTCATTCCATTGTAAATACATTATTATAACATGTGCGTGCTTTCTTTCTGCAGAAATTGTGGAACGAGTTTAAAGATTGTTTTATGGTAGTAATCTGCATCGTCACAAATGCTGGTGGTTGAGCTGAACATGAAATTAATATTCCTTTAAAACATTTAAACAGAATATTTCTGTTCATTCTATGTTATTCACAATTTAAATATACTTTGTCTTCAAAATGAAATATGGGTATGTTGATGGCTCAGGATATATGTGATCGTAATCGTCCACCATTGTAGATGATAATCGTTAATAATGCAGTCTTTAAGTTTTCAGTTATGCACGATGCTAATTGTGCAGAAAAAGATCTTTATTCTAGTACATATGCAATGGCCAGAAAGAAATATTCTAAGTTATGCAATCGAGGATTTAAATCCTACAAAAAAGATGCATTCAGAAATAAATGACAAAAATGCTTTCATCAAACACACCGAGACGCTCTGCTGGTTTCTGCACGTGTCATGTTAACTGCTTTCTGTTTTGCTAAATTGCAGCTCTGAGCAAGCTGAAGGTTCATCACATGTACCAGGGCAGCCAGGTGGAGATCGTTCACTCCAATGTGGTATTTGATATCTGTAGTCTGATGCTTTATGGGACGCAGGCGATCCCAGTGCGTCTGAAGATCCTGCTGGACCGACTCTTCAGCGTCCTCAAGCAGGAGGAGGTTATTCAGATCCTCAATGCGCTGGACTGGACTCTACAGGACTACATCCGCGGATACGTCCTGCAGGTCAGATGCTTTTTCTTTCACTGCACTAATTTTTGATCTATAATTACAGATTTGTCGCACTTTACCTAAGAAAATAACCAGAGGAGAGCCACTGAGATTTCTGCCTTCAATTTGCTTATCAAGTATTCAGGTGCTTGAAATAAATTCATGGTAGTTCCTCTGGTGGAGAATGTAAAGTTAAAGCCTCTTCAGACCTCCAGATGAATGCTGTATGATGAAATATTTATTCTGGTTACAACACGAAGCTGCTGCATGACTTTCAAAGCCTGCTGGCACTCAAGAGTAATTACAGGCGGACTGAAAGAGTTGCCCGACTCGCCTCTGATCTCTCCCCTCCCCTCCTGCTCCGACAGGGAAACCCGCATCATCTAAATGAAGAAAAATTACGCTACAGAATGAATCGCTCTGCTGCAGTAATTAGACCTCTCAAGTCCACACGCATTAGATGTATGGACGACTGGTTATTCAGTAGCTCTGTCAATCTGTCAGAAGTCATGGAGTAATTTAAAGTCCAAGAGCAGAACATTTGTTGCTTTAATATTCATGATTCCAATGACATTCCTTGTGTGTGTGTGTGTGTGTGTGTGTGTGTGTGTGTGTGTGTGTGTGTGTGTCCAGGACGTGGCTGGTAAGGTGTTGGACCGCTGGGCGATAATGACCTTTGAAGAGGAGATCGTCACGCTGCAGCAGTTCCTCCGATTTGGGGAGACCAAATCCATCGTGGAGCTCATGGCCCTGCAGGATAAGGAGGGACAGGCTGTTGTTGTCTCCACCACCAAGACCAATTCTGACATCCGCAGCTTCATCGAGAGCAGCACGCAGCGCTCGGTACGCCTGCCTGCTAAAGCGGATGCCCCTGGCTGCAGTAATGGGCACCACTTCGAGACGCTGGTCAACAGTATGGCGCTCATGTTGCCGCTGCAGCTTATGAACTCGGTGCCCGCGCCGCTGCTGAGTTGCAATACAGACTCCGACCACCAGGAGGTGCAAAACAGGCACGACGCTTCAGAAATAAGCCTGGACAGTGTTTCACCGTTCGAGTCTGGCCCCGTGAGAACAGACGTGTTGCTGAACAGCGAATCTCCAAAGATGGAATCGGAAGAGTTTAACGTGAGCGGAAACTCCTCTCCGTCCACGAACTGCACACCCTCCGTCCACTCCGAAATCACACACCTGTCTCCGGAGAGCAAGATCCGGTGTGCAGAGAAGAGCGGATCGCTGAAGAAGGGCCGCGTGTTCTGCAGCGCCTGCGAGAAAACCTTCTACGATAAAGGCACGCTGAAGATCCACTATAATGCAGTTCACCTGAAGATCAAGCACAAGTGCACCATCGAGGGCTGCAACATGGTGTTCAGCTCCTTACGCAGCCGGAACCGACACAGCGCCAACCCCAACCCACGGCTGCACATGCCAATGAACCGCAATAATCGTGACAAAGACCTGCGGGGTGGCCTGAGCCCGGGCCTAGAGGATGGGCAGGAGGACGAGAAGAGAGAGTTCATTCCCATCCCGGAGAGCCGCAACGTCTCCAGTTTTATAATTCGCAATTCCGAGCCCAAACTGCACGGCTCACTGTCGGGCCTAAGCCAGAGCGGCATCCTCTTTCCCAACCTGAAGACAGTACAGCCAGTGCTGCCCTTTTACCGCAGCCTGGTGACCCCGGCTGAGCTGGCACACACGCCGGGCAGCCTGCCCTCCCTGCCACTGTTGTCCTCCTCTGTGCCCGCCGGCTCCAGACACATGCTGATGGACACGGTGCCCAAGAAGAAATCTCGCAAGTCCAGCATGCCAATCAAAATCGAGAAAGATGAGCTGGCGGAGGAGGGTGTGTCTGAAGAAGAGACTCCGCCCCTCAGCCCCTGCACAGAAAACTGTGGTGTCAGCAACTCGGGCCGTGAGGATGGCGAGGATCTTCTGTTGACCACCGTGGACACCCAAGACACTCAGTGGCACAAACTGACCCATGAGGACAGTTGCATCATCTCACCATCCTCTCCTTCCATCTTTCACATTAAACAGAACAGCGAGAAAGAGGAGTCCTTAAAATGTGAAGAGCCAGCATGCAGTTCCCGCCCGGAGCCCTGCAGCCACTGGCCAGCCCGTTTCACACAACACAGCGAAAACTGTGCAGACGGCGGCAGTGACCCTGAGAGCGTGGGTCTGGATGATAAAGAAGAGCTGTCGCACCCGTGTGAGATCTGCAGCAAGACATTTAAAAACCCTTACAGTGTGAAAATGCATTATCGAAATGTGCACTTAAAGGAGATGCACATGTGCACTGTGGACGGCTGCAATGCTGCGTTTCCGTCCCGCCGCAGCAGAGACCGGTAAGACGGATATGTTTGAGGGAAATTAATTTTTGAGCAATACATTACACAAAACTGTATGTAGAAAGCACATGACAGAGAGTGTGTGTGTGTGTGTGTGTGTGTTGATGCTTCTTTTATACATGCATAAAGTTAGAAAGAAAAACTTGTCGTCTTTGCTTTTAATTCTCTAGACACGGTGCAAACCTGAATCTGCACCACAGGCTGTTGACCAAAGATCATTCAGGAACATCTTCTCTCCGCAGAGAGCCTCCAGACCTGCTTCACCAACAGCCTCTGGGTCAGATGTCCGGCGTCCTGAAGGGCAGCCAGCGCACGGGTCTGGTGTTCCCCATGAGTAAATCCCTAGAGCCAGAAGAGGGCGCTGTGGAAAACGAGGCAGTGTTGGACCTGAGCACCCGAGGGAGCAGCCAGTCGTCCTGGGACTCAGGCAGCGATGAAGGACTCCCTCTGGAGGACAGCGAGGAAAGCTGTGACGGGCCGGCTGCGTCTCCCAGCCTCCAGCAGTCCCACAGCTCCTCCATCACCTGCCACATCTGTCAGAAAGTTTACAGCAACAAAGGCACGTTCAGGGCTCACTACAAAACGGTGCACCTCCGGCTGCTCCACAAGTGCAAAATACCAGGCTGTGACACCACATTCTCTTCTGTTCGCAGCCGCAACCGCCACAGTCAGAACCCAAATCTTCACCGTAACCTTGCAGGGAATATTTCCCTCAAGCAGGAGTAGGATTCTCCTAAACATACATAGTCAGCGGCTCACTGTAATAACTGGGGCTCATAAGCACTCTGGTCTTTGTACTGCACAATCAAGCATTACTGGAAGGACACAATCATATTTATAACGAAGCCTGATGTTGTTTACCTTTCTAATGTTAAGAAATGTTTTTTCATCTCTGATGTTATATCTATTTGAGAAACTTTACATATATTTATTGAATTTTTTAAGAGCAAAAGCGAAAGACAGATGCCTAAAATGACTGAAGAAACTACAGAGACAATCAAGAAAACAAAATGACCTTGAGAGATCCTTAAATTAATCAGTGCTGTTATACAGTATGCTTAGTCATGCATTTAAAAAAAATCCAAAGCCACATAAAAAAACAAGTCTGGTTTACCTTCTCTGCACTTATTCACTGAGATACACGTGTTTCATCAGCAGGAGACTGAGAGAGAGAGAGAGAGAGCATTGATACAGCATTGTAGAGTGATAAAGATGGAGATGTAGGAAAGATACAGATGGAGATGGAGGAATGGGAAAGAGAGAGGTAAGAATGTTGGCGAGACTCTCTTTGTCATGTGTTACAGTGAATGTTCTGGCGTGTGTTTGCTTGCTCTTCAGTTTTTTTTTAATTGCAAAAAGAAAACAATCAGTGGTCAATAGATTGTGTTGATGTTCCAATCAATATGCCCTTAAAAGAGGCTGTTGTGCTCTTGAGTAAGTTATTGTGTTACTGTAAGTTGTATTTTTTTGGGGTCAAGCACCTGCGGTCTTCAATGTCTTATTTATTCTCACATCTGGATGGAGTCCGTCATGCCTCCGTCACCGACACACTAAACACTTCAGTCTATTCTCAAATGTGGCTAAGAGAGACAGTTTACTGTGATAAAACACATCTGTTTGGTTTAACGTTTGCAATCAAAATACTGAAACCTGGAGGCAGCAGTGAAATCTGCATATTGTCTGAATCATTTCAGTTTTTTTTTACATAAAGGCTATTTCTTAATAAATTGATTTGCATCTGCCGCTGTCGTGCTTGACCCCTGAATCGCTGCTTATATTTCTATTGTTGATCTTGTTGTGGAAACCAAAGATTCTTGATCCAGGACGTGTGCTAATCAGCAGAAGAATCAGACGACACACATGAAAAAACCGTCTGATAATGCTTTCACACAGGTTACTCTAAAGACTTACGATTGAGTTTTGTAAGATGTTTTCATCAGTTTAATATCATGTGCTTTATCATGTGCATGGGGTTTTAGTAAAACAGTGAAGACTTAGACTGAGGTCAGCAAATGAAGACTGATGCTCTTAAAGCACAAACCTGTGGACATGTATTCCTTTCTCTTTGTTTTACGTGTAAAATCTTTTGTACTCTTCCCCTACACCACAAGTGTATGCTGAAATGTGATGAGCAGGGTTATCAGGATTATAAAACTAGTCCAACCCTAACCCACAATCATTTATTTGTCTTCAGTGAAATCATTTTCCACTGTTAATAAACTATTTTAAAAAACCACTGAATGCCTACTCGTATCCAAGAACAGTGCAAAATTAAATATGCCTGATGCTGTTGCTTCTAAGCTAACGTTTAACACTCAGGTGCAGACCGTATAAAACAGTCTACAATCTACAAATGTCGACTTTGCAGAAAACAAACTGCACTTAAACACACACACTGGCTTTAATCAGCACAAAAACACGTGGACATATTCTGATCACAGATTACATCTGACTGTACAACACATTTTCATTAAATTAGGCAAAATGATGCTGTTTCTATTGTTCCTCCTAGATCACTGCATTTGTTGTAACAGGTCAGTCTGACACAGAACTCTTGCCATAGGGATAGAAGAGTAAAAGATTTACAGTAAATAAACACTCATACACATATAAACATGACTGATATTTCAAGCATATTTAACCTGATGAGGGAATTGTTCTTTTCAGGCAGAATAAATAGACCAATTACAAAAAAGATCATCATCATCATCATCATCATCATCATCGCTGTGTAATTTAATAACATTATCACTAGTGCTAAAATTCACCTAATGCAAAACCCAAGTCTATCTAATGACACTTTTTTTGCATCGTGTCACTTGTGCATATCAGTAAATCAGTTCCTCATTTCTTTGAACAAGTTGAAATGCTTCTGTACATCCATGCAAAAGATGATGTGCAGTTCTCTGATGTTACCGGCATGATCAGTTGCTCATGTCATGTTGATCAAAATGTATTATTTTTGTCTCACCCCTCACCCCAACATCTAATACTTTGTCCAAGACATAAGTGTTTACATGCAAAATGACTGAACGAGTTATATATGACATAATACTTTGTCGATGCAGTTCTCTAGACATTTCCATTCGACTTTTTTTCCCCCTAAATCTGTCTTTACTTGGTGCATTTCTCCCCAGTGAATCTCGACTTTTTCTAATATAGGTGCATCTCAAAGAAGGTTGTCCTATGCTCACATTTCTACTCAACAGTTTTTCTCAACTGCTTTGGCTCAATTCTCGATTGACATTTTTATTTTTTAAAACAATAAGTATAGATCTGTGAACAATTAGCTTATTGTTCACTTCAGAGTGGCATTTCTTGCTGATTTAAGCAAATAGCAAATTCTTTGGCATGTGTGGAAATAGTAAAAGTACAATTGTCTGTAGTTTAAACAAAAACAAAATGCAAATGGTGTGCTGATCAAAACTGATGAGTCAATTCTCATTTAAACTGTCGAACTCTTCCCAACATCTCAATAACTTTTCATTGTGTGAGTCAGGGCTATTCAATCAGTTTGTCATGAGGGCCAGTTCATGAAAAGCATCCTAAATAAGGGGCTGGAGAGATAAGACTTTTCAATACGAGCGACGACACAACAGCATGTAAGAGCCCATATGCTTTATTTTTGCTCCTTAAGACACCCACATTGGCTTTTTCTGCATTAAAATGGTAAAATGTTATATTGTGAAACTACATAATATCAGTGCAGTGTACAATAAGCTTTTTTTCACAAACATATTCAAATGTTGTATTTCAAAGCACAACAGAAGCAGAGCATTGCTGAAGTGTGCTTCTTCTACAATTAGACACATGCAACTATTATAAATTTTGGTTGTACGATTCTGAAAAATAATCATGTTTCATGGTTATCACGTCTAATGTAAATTTAAGCTTATATTAGCTAAGTATTTAGATTATCATCTGCGTTCATACATACATAATCATTTTAATAATAATTAATCTAACATATCTTTTGTTTACATTGCAGTAAAAGCCACACACAACTCTCACCGACACAGTGTGCCCGGGAAGCCATGAGCACGTTGTTCCGCTTGTGCGCACATGTTGGGGAATATTCTTACATTAAAAATAATAAACTTGCGCGCAGAAAAGACGTGATATGGGACAAGTGTGCATGGGAATTAACCTCTGTGTACAAGCTCGGAACCTGCGCAGAGGTGGCGTCTTGGCTTTGTTTAATTGCAGCAGCTTTGTTTTTTGCAACAGAAATGGGGTGTAGAGAAGCCTTCACAATCAACTACCCTTGACAAGTTAAACCACAGTTAACAGTCAAATCGGACAATCGTTGCATACCTAATAACTATATCATTGCATTGTGCAAAAGGCCTTTTCTACAAACACATCCTAATAGCCGCGTTTCCACTATCGCGCCTAAAGCGAGCGAGCCAGGGCGAGCCAAGGCCAGTGGCGTTTCCACTGTCACTTCCGGGGCCTAATCGGGCCAAAGCGGGGCTTTCTTGGGGCCAGCGGCCGGTCTTTTTCGGCCCGCCGAATACCTTGGGCCAAGGAGGGCCAGCTGGGGCTTCGGGGCGGAGTGAAAGGAGAGGCGGGCAGTTTTCTGATCGCACATGAGTACATGCGCCAAACAAATAAAGAAATAAGGGAAAGAAAACATCTAGCCTTATAGTCTTTGGTCTTTTTGCGTATGATCACCCTTATGTTTCCCTTTTAAATGTAAGGCTGCTGCATAAAATAATAAAGTAGTTTTAATTTATAGTGACGTTTTTTGCTGCGTCCTTATTTTTCAATAACGCATAATAATCTTTACACCATATTAAAGACACAGCAGACAGTAAAGGTTTTCGAGAGTTTTTGTCAAGTTTAAAATGTTTGTTTTTGCGCGTTTAGATGCCTGTATGAGTGTGTGAGACCGGGCAAAAGCGCTCCTTCACAGCTCTGGAATGCCGCGAGCGACTTTTTTCTTTATTTATTTTGAAAATAATACACAATATAAATACAACAGAAAGACATAAAACTTAACAAATTATGTGCCCACTTTCGTAGACTTTAAACAATATAATGTCATATCTTGATAAAATATCCTAAGCTATATTAAAATATAATTTAAAGAGTTACAAATATCGGATATATATAAAATCACATTAAATAAATTAACCAATATAAAATAAACAAAAGCTAGCTATAACAATGTAGGTACCCTATATACAAAACATAAATCAAACTGTTTTAAAGCCACATATAGCCTAATTTTCATTTTACAAAGACCTGTCTGAAAAAAAAAGATTTTCGATATTTTCTAAAAACTAAACACCGGAGAGGGTTTGAAATATTTATATAAAGTAAATATTTATATAAGGTAATATTTAAAAGTATTTGGATGTGATGATATTAATCAAATCGCACAAACAGAGCATTATTTGGGTGAGTGAAAGCAGAATCTAGCCTATACCTTTTTTTCTGTCACTCAGTCCTGTGTAGCGCTCGCTGCTTTAAACGCATCGGGGGAAAGTGCAAACACAAAATGTGTTCTAAATCCTCAAACAAGTGTTTATGTTTTTATATGACATGGTTAAATTTATAACTGAAACTTTAAATGAAGAGCTTTAGTGAATAGCTGCCGAGCGCAACAAATATGTCTATATTTTATTAGGCTAACGTTACTCGCTCTTGTGCTGAAACACTTAACACGACTTCTATCAAAACGAGGATGTTATAAAACACATGCCATATCGAGTTATAAAGGAGAATTGCTGTGGCTTTATATTATGGATGTGTGCGCTCTCTGTGTTGGGTCCCTGCGTTAGTGGCGAGAGCACTCGATGCACAATAACAGTCGGTCGGCGAGTAAACAATAAATGTAATGAATGGAAATACACAGGTCTGTGCGTATAGACATTTCATGTACTGCTGTACAGTAACGTGTCGTTTGTTTGTTTCGGCTGTCTTCATTTTAATGGTTTCATTTCGTGATGATTCTATGGTCTGCTTTATCTGCCTGTCCTCATTCCCGCTGAAGTGGGCGGGTTGTGTGACGTTTGATTCAGGGACGTTCTGGGGGCGGTGTTTGCGTGACGCGCTGTGAGCTACTAGCCCGACAGTGGAAACGCGACATGATTTCAGCCTCATTTCTCAACCTTCCGGGCTATTGGCCCGGCCTGGCCCGATTAAAGCCCTGGCTCGCACTGGCCCGATAGTGGAAATGCGGCTAATGTTTTCAGCTGCGCGCACCACACGCTTAATGTCATGTGACTCACGCTCTGTACAACCATCAACTGCAACTTATGCTGTATTGAACAGGCGCACATCACTTCATCACTGTAGGTGCTGTTTTTTGACTTAACTAAAGTTATTTTGATGTCTTTGTCACACTAATTGGAGGGTTGAAACATATTGCATCGGGGGCCGAGTTTGGCCCGTGGTCTGCCAATTTAATAGCCCATTTGTAAGCCATGACACTCCCAACATTTTTTACAATTATCAAACATTTGTATATGCACATCTTTATCCCATAAATATCTGATATTAACTGAATTGGTAAATGACCTCTGGTTGTGACATCATTTGCATTATCTGTTTATCATGTT